GATCGTGGTGCCCTCGAGTGTGGGACAAAATGCTGTGTTGGGCGCCCACACCACCTAACACCACCATCACCCAGCCCTGCCCTGACTACGTACCGGGTCTCATAGCCGAGGTCAGTGCCACTACTTATAGGTCAAAGGTCAAAGGTTTATGGTCCTTAAAATGGTTCATGGGTTATTTATGGTCTACCTGGGTTATTAATTATAGGTTATGTCGTCTGCCCGGGCTATTAATTACAGGTTATATCGTCTGCCTGGGCTATTAATTACAGGTTATGTCGTCTTCCCGGGCTATTAATTACAGGTTATATCGTCTACCTGGGTCACTAATTACAGGTCATATCCCTTACATGTGTTATAAATTACAAGTCATCTCTACTAACGTACTAATCCCTAATCTCATACAAGGAATCCAAGTTGAAGATAATAGGTTGACCAATTACTTTCAATCCTCTATTCTTTTATGTCTAGGCCTATTGTTTTGAGTATAGGCCTATTATTTTTTTATGAAGCTGTTATTCGTTACAGGGAGAACATCTATAGGTGCTTGGGATTTGTCCTCATCGCCTAATGTTTAGTTTTCGAATTTCTTTGTTTTTCGTAATATTTTTTTCTACGTTGTGTTATCTTTGTCATTTCTTCATTATTTTCTTGTTCCTATATCAAGTACGGTGTTTTCTTAGTTATGAACACAAGAATATGTTCATTAATTATTCGAATATGTTCTTGAATAAATCTTCTCTCTTAGTCATGAACACATTATTAAGGAGTTAAGTCGGTGCTGCTGTAAAACCTCATATAGATACAAACAGAATAGTTAACTTGGTAATATCGTCCACCATAACACGCCTGTATAAGTATAGCCCACACGTCTTAACAGAAGACATAAGACGGGGGTGTTAAGTAGATTCTAAGAGGATCAGAAGACGTGCCAAGCTTATAGTTGTGTGGCCTCAGAAGGGTTTTAGATTCCGTGTTACGCTGCGTTTTTGTTTTATAGTTTTGTGTGGTTTCAGTAGGCTCTATGAGTTAGTTTTGGCCGCTGGTGGGAGTGGTGGTGGTAGAGTCGTGGTGTGATGTGACGAGAGTGAGAGAATAGTGTTTGGGTGTTTGATGAGCTATATTATTATTGTTTACCCTGTTTACGAAATATAGAAAGGTTATTTTACATACATACATACTGTACATACATAGAGATAAACATGCAAACGCATATCTATATTTTGTCTATCCAAGTAGAAGTAGACACACACAAGTTCCTCCCTCTCCTTCCTCCTCTACACAGTGCTGACTGATACAGGCACTGACAGCTATACACGGGACTAAAAATAACCTCACTCGAAGTCATGGGTTGTAGAGGATGGTGGGGAAAATATATTGAATTGGTGGGGAAAATATTGAAATGGTAAGAAAAATATATTGAAATGGTGGGGAAAATATATGGGTATAGTGGGGAAAATATATTGAAATTGTGAGGAAAATATTGAAATGGTGGGGCAAATAATTTGCGATGATGTAAATTGGGTCATTTGGTAAGGTTATGCCACTTGGGAAGTTCAGGTCATTTACGAAGGTCAGGTCATTTGTGAAGGTCAGGCTCATTTTTGAAGGTCAGGACATTTGTGAAGGTCAGATCATTTGGGAAGGTCAGGTCATTTGGGAAGGTCAGGTTATTGGAGAAGGACAGGTCATGTGGGATGGTCAGGTCACCTCTTAAAACAATTTGGCACCATTAAAAGCCAAATTAGCACCATTAAGGTCAAGTCAAAGGGAACACCATCAAAGATCAGTCTGTAGCACTCGGGTCAGATTACGCCAACTTTAGAAGCACCTTTAACCTACCTTACTCTACCGCGCCTACCTGGGGGGAGGGGGGGGTGGACCATTAACCCATCCCACTTATTGGTGTTTCAGAGTCCTCGTGAGACCGATCTGTACCCACGCTAAAATATATGTGGCCCCGTGGGTGCTTTTACGTGGGAGGGGGGGAGAGGAAAGGTGAGGGATAAGAGGTGAGGTAGGTGGGAGAGGATGGGATGGAAGGGTGGAAGGGGAGGTAGGTGAAGGGTAAAAGGATGGAAGGGAAGAGGGGAAGAAGGAGAAGATGAGGGGAGGTAGGTGAAGGAGAAGAGGTAAAGAGAGGAAAGATGGGTGAGGTTGGAGAGGATGGGAGGGGAAAAGAGGGAAACACAGGCTGAGGGCAGGTGGGGGAGAAGGGATTGTTGGTTGGTGAGAGTAAGGGAGGTAGTGTTGGTGATTGTAGCGAAATAGGGATAGTAGTAGGTTGAGTTAGATATAGGTTAAGGTAGCACATACTCTCTCTCTCTCTCTCTCTCTCTCTCTCTCTCTCTCTCTCTCTCTCTCTCTCTCTCTCTCTCGTTAAAACACCGCCTCCCGACAACAGTTTGACTAGCGGCCACCTGCTGTCGTCCGCTCCACTGACCTTTCCACCACCTCAGCTTCGCCTAATGGTGTACACCGCTGTGTTTCCCCAATCAATCACCTGAAGAAAGAAGACGTGAAAACTATTGATAATTTTAAGGATAAAAAATATAGTATTCTTATAATGCCAGAAAAAAATATTGCTGATTTAAAAGCAAGAGATGAGTCAACAATATTTTAATATGAAAAAAATCAAAATAGCCGACAAAATACATGATAGCCGCCAGGTCGAGACAAAGGAAAAACCTTAGAACTGTTTGATAATGAAAACAAATGTAAGATTAACTAACAGCAAAGAAAAATAAATTACAAAATAGACAAAATTATATCTGTAGTTGATATTTCGAGAGAAAGAAAGAGAGGGAGAGAGAAGGGGGGGTCCTTTGCATGACCTATATTGTATACACTGGCGTCTTTTTAATCAATGTTTCGCTTAAGATTTAGATGACAGGTAAATGCAGCCTTCAGGATATTGGATGCACCTAAAAGGTCTTCCGGCCTTATTAATATTAAAAGAAGGACGGATGCGTTAGTGGAGGTTAAAACTAATCTGTTGCTGCGTTAGGTGAGGTTAGGTTAGGTTAAGTGAGACGAGGTAAAGTTCATGCCAGGTTAGACTAAGTTAGGGTTAATGTTAAGTGAGGCTAGATACAGTACGTGTTGTGTTAAGCTCATTTTAGGTTAGGTTAGGTTAAATTAAATTAAAAAAAGATGAGATCATTAACTCACAAACAACAATACAGTTACACACACTCACTTACATCTAATCATTACCAAATATTAATATCAGACACCCACATAACGTAATTAAACTACCCTGCTCCTTAATCACCCGAGGGCCATTTAATATAACACAACGCTAGGGTAATCATTCTCTTGTAAAGACTGAGTGAGGGATACAGGCTGTCATTTTGTCTGCATCTTAGGTCAAAGTTCACTGACCTTTGTAGAGTTCGGAAATCGTGTTGACATGATGGTGGTAATTGGTTGGTTTAATGTTTCACTTTGGGGGGTTCATAGTTGGTGTGTGTGTGTGTGTGTGTGTGTGTGGTGTGTGTGTGTGTGTGTGTGTGTGTGTGTGTGTGTGTGTGTGTGTGTATTGTGTGTAAAAAATATCACTGTCCTGCTAACTTTAAATCCCTGAAGATTTTAAACCCACAGACACCTATGGACAGTCCTACCCCCACACACACACACACAAAGAGCTAGTGCCATGGCAGCTTTTGAACCTCTGGAGTGCCACCTTAATCCAATACAGTGCCATTATGGGTATGGTACTGCCTCTCTAAATATAGGTCAGGTGTGTGTGGTGTGGGTCAGGTGTGTGTGTGTGGTGTGGGTCAGGCCATTGATGTGTGGTGTAGGTCAGGTGTGTGTGGTGTAGGTCAGGTGTGTGTGGTGTAGGTCAGGTGTGTGTGTGGTGTAGGTCAGGTGTGTGTGGTGTAGGTCAGGTGTGTGTGGTGTGAGATGCTCTCTTGGTTAAGTCGACAAAGAATATACTTTTAATCTTTGTGTTTGTTGTAGGTGTTATATAGAACAGAAGAACGGGAGAAGAGGCAAGCTTGATGAAGGGAGGACGTGGGGAAATGATGATGAGAAGAAACATAAGTTGACGATAAAAGACAAAGTAAAATGAAAACTATTGAAAAGTAAAGGTGTATATTTCCTCTCCTCCTCCTCCTCTGTTTACACCTTTCCATCCTCCTTATCTTTCTTCCTTTCCTTTCTTCCCATTTTGCCTCTACTTTTTATTCTTTCCTTCCTCCGTCTTCCCTCCTGACTTCCCCAACCGTGAAAAATGAACCATAACTCAAACTTCACTTAGACCAGCAACACACCACACATTACAGACAGATATCCTGGTATGACAAACTCTCTGGCCAAAATTAGGTTCCTTCCATTTAATCTTTGGGAAGTTATCGTCTGGACATTGAATTTAACTGACGGACGGACGGACGAACGGACATCTATAGTGTGATAGAAAACGGGAAACTATGATATCTACGTTTTCTATTAAGCCTCTGAGTATTTTTTAAAGTATGATATTTTTAAAAAAGGTAAAAAAAAAAAAATTAGTAGAGTCTCAGCTTTCAGTCGGGTGAGATGGAATGAGGGACCGTGTGGGAGGAATGAGGCGGACATTAGGGATGAGGAATGAGGGAGAGACAGAGAGATATAGTAAGGGAGGCAGAGGAGGAGAGGATAATGATGTCTCAAGGATTTATTGGGGTTACAAATGTTGGTATTGATGATGATGGTGGTGGTGGTTGGGGTGGTGGGGTGGGGGGTGATGGTGGTGGTGGTGGTGGTGGTGGTGAGGTGTAGTAGTGATGGAGGTGTGTTGGTGGTGATGATAATGAAGGTGATGATGTTGGTGAGTAGCGGTGATATTCTCTCTCTCTCTCTCTCTCTCTACCTCTCTCTCTCTCTCTCTCTCTCTCTCTCTCTCTCTCTCTCTCTCTCCTCTCTTCTCTCTCTCTCTCTCTCTCTCTCTCATTATTCACCATTTGCCCTTTTATTATCTTAATTAAATACTTCCCTCTTTCACCACTTTGCTTCCCCTTCCATTATTCCATTTGTCTCTTTCTTCTGTCCGTTTCCTATTTGATTTCTGTCACTTTGATACTATCTCCTCTCCATTAGTTGTTATTCATCATCCCGTCCTTTGTTC